TTTTATAATAATTTAATTATTATTTTTTAAATAAAAAAATTCCATACAATTTTTTATTGAATATTGAATATTTAAAAATTATTTCTTAATTTAACTTATCATCGACACAAACACGATTTGAATGTTTACGGTATTGCCAGGCAAATGAAATGAAAACGCAACCTAGGGCCATAATTTGAACGCAAACGTGGATATCACAATCGTTAAGAGTAATAATAGTAATAATGTTTGCCTTACGTAAATTACAGAACATTTTTATTGCAATTATATTGCAATGGAAATATCTAGTATTTGATTTATCGATTTTTGGATAAGATAAGATAAGAAAAACAGGATAATAAATACATGAAACAATTCATTCATTCAAGACCATGTTCCTGGGGAAACTTGTCGAAAGTGTTCAACTACTGAAGAATATATTCTGCGATACGATGCAATGATAGATCTTGGCCAGTACGTAAGCCGAAACAACCTAAACAAATCTAATTTAATTTCATCTAAATTCAAAAAAGAAACCTAAGGCAACTTTGCGATAAGTTAAATTTTCCATACATTAGTCAACTAGAAAATATTAGGAAACGTTTTTATTAAATATTTTCCAAGCAAATCGCATTCGATAAATGGAATTCAATTTGTATACCCAGAGTTAGAGTTAAATTTAGATTGAGCAAAAACTCCATTTGAGCGTCGTTGATTGACTTGAAACTTATGATAAGAGAAAAAAATCTCAATTATGTTAACTCGCATGGTATGCAAATCGTCAGCTGCGTGTATTATTTTGCATATAATTCATAAAATAGTTTTTCGATAATTAAACCAAATGTGTTGAGGATTTATAGAAATCAATGCTTACGTATGTTATGTTTATATACCTTAAACATACACACATTTATTCAAGCATTATATTATAATTGCCAACAAAAGACTTAAGCAAAAAACTTTATTATGAACGTTGCTGTAAACATTGTTTATTATTTTATTGTATTTTTTCTCCCTCTTTCTTTGTTTTTTGTTTTTTTTTTTTGTATTTTTTTATTTTATTTTGTTTATTAAATAAAACTTGCGTAACAAAGGTGTTCAGTAAAACAATCAAATTAGTTTAAAAAATATTTTAATTCAAAAAAACAAAAAAAGACCAAAGAAAAAAAAAATAATAACATCAAGTTGAATATTTTACCTAAGTTGTTTCAACGAATTGTTACTCAACAATTAACTTTCGCTATCAATTCGTCAATTTCTTCATATCAGCATAGATTAATTTAAAAGGAATATCAACCGTTACGATCAACTTTTTCATTAATTTTTATTTTCTTTGCCATATCTTCAAAGCTTTTCCTAGTGACCCTGCCACAAATATCATAAATTATTGATCTTTAAATTCCATTTCTTGAGTTATGCTTCATACTTATTGAAATGGATAAGCTCTCATCTTCGTAATAATAAATCATTCGAACTTCTTTTCATCTGCATAAAATCTATAGAATTTCCGATGAAATTAGATATTCCTCAAGGGGACCAGCTAGTCGCCTAGCTACACATCCTGCCTCTCATATCCTCATGCATGCTGATGATGTGAAATTTTTTTCCTCATTTAACATAGAATCGCACTCTTATCTGCTTAAAATATTTTATAAAAAATGCAACGAGTTTTCCTTCTCTAGATTGAATTCATTTTCCCGTCTGTCTATCTATTTTATCAATTCACACAAATTGGACAAGGTGGAGTCATGTTATTGATTTGTGTGTTGGTTAAAATTTGCGTTTTAATCTGTACATTGAGCTATCTATAAATAAAGCCAGTTTGGTGTTTGGCCTTATTAAACGGATTGAGAACCCATAGGTTACAAAAATATTATGCTATACTATAGCTTATGGCAGTGCTTCCTTTAGATGACGTGTTGACTCAATAGAGTTAATTCTGCTTTTTGACCAAAGGAATTTGTGTTGTGTTGGAGCCCGCTTCTCTCATGGGCTTCGCATGAAAATAGATTGCTCTTGCTCAGCTTACACCCTCGTAAGAGGATTATAGGATTTTATTTTTGATGTTTACTTTTTAGTTCAATTGAGGTGAGATAAACGTCAATATTCCTAGTCGGTCTTCTAGATACTTTACTGTCATAAAGCGCAATCAATGCAGATACAGTTATCAGCTTTTCGATCCGTTTAGGTGCCTTTATGAAAATCTAAATGATACCTAGAAATTTATCTCAATATCCGTGCCTTTAAACACAAGCAAAGCTGCTTTCTATAACATGCGAGCTCAATCCAGACCGTATTTAAATCAACTGCTAATCGTTAATACCCCGTATGATGCGTAGACAGACTTAAATATATATATTCACTATAATTGATTGCGAATGTTCTGCAAGCTTGCAATGGTTAAGGGATTCAGTGACAATTTGGTTCTGAATCCCGATTATGGGTACGGTTCTGTGCTGGATGTGTATATATGGGTTTTTTTTTTTTTTTTTCTGTTCCTCTTGTCTAATTTTCGTTATATTCTTTTTCCTTTTCCTTTCCTATTCGTAATGAGTGGATAAGATCTATTTTGAAGAGTCAATCTATTTCGCGCGGTAAGTTTATGTTAATCGAATTTCATCTGTATATAAATACATAAAAGCCAAAAAAAAGTCATTAAAATGAGTAGACGCAGTTAACGAATTATATTCACGTGAATGCGAGTCTTAAACGGATCGATATAATTGCAGGTTAACAAACGAGAAAAAGTAACTATTAACTCTCATTCAAGTTATATTCATATAATTTGATCTGTTGAATTTAAGTTCGTCTATCTCTTCTCCTCATATTCCAAATTATATATATATATATTATATATATATAAATTGAAATGAAACTAAGGAAATAAGAAAGTTATATTTGGTCGTGACCGAATTTTTTACACCCATCAATGTTGTTCAAAAAAAGGAAAAAATAACTATATTTCTCTACTCTATAATACTGAGTGGGCGCGGTTGATTTCTTCTATTTTCAGTATAAAAACTTATAAATTTATATGAGGTAGATGTAACAAGCAAAGAAACACGGAATGCAAATGTGTTCGAGAGAATGTTTATCACAGATACTAAGGAGTTGGACGGACGGATAGATGGACAAACGAGCAGACAAGAACTTATTTAGTTTTTGGCGTTTTTATAGCTTCCGTCTGCGCAATTTAAAGGTTTTGAAAAAAAAAATGAGATTTTGCCACAATATAGCATTGAGTACGCGTGGCCGATTTTTTTCAGTTTTGCACAAATGCCACAGAATCGCCAATAGAATAAATATGTATAAAAAATTTTCATAGCTTTATCTGCTATTGTTTAGGAGCAATGAGCAACAAACCTATTTTTTAACCCTTTTGAAAACTAGATGTGTCATAACTTAACGTGGTACCGTAAGGGTGTCCTTCAACCAAATTGACTCATTTTAAATACTAACCTGCATCCAAGAATCGCCAAAGTTTATGGGAAATTTGAAGTTGATAGGTTTAATTTTACCATGAGGAGAATGACGAGCGGACGAAAGGACAGACGGCCAGATTTTGATACTGGTCAAGACTATATATACTTTATGGGGTCTCTGAAGCTTTCTTTTGGGTCTTGCAAATGTTTTGACAAATGAATAACAAATACCACCCATGCTTCGATTAATAGGTATAAAAAGCAAAAGGAGGAGACGAACGCGATGTAAACACATTTATCGTTTAAACGTTACTCTTTAGAATTAAATAGCTTCGCTAACGATTCGTAGTGTTGTGCAAAATAGATTCAAGTGATAACTCCGAACGATATCAACTGTATGTAAATAGTGGTGATCTACTCATAAGCGAATGACTTTATCTCGCTTAATCAACTTAAGAACCTGTAAAACTAAAGCATTTGGTAAGCAATGCTTCGCCAGCAAACTCATTAGGCCATAGATTCTATCTTTCAATAAATTAGCTTAGGTTACGCTCCTTAAAACTTTTCGTAAAACTGAGAAAAATAAATTCCTCTGACCCATAGGCTTTATGTGCCAGATGGCACATTAAAGTAATGGAATTATTGAGGAAAACAATCCGTTTCTCTCCATCTCTCTTCTCGCTCTTCTCTATCTGTAAACCCTTGTTAAGGGACATACGATACCCTAAGTGACTTATCCACAAAAGAAAGACTCGCAAAGAAGCCGATAATCTAGATTGTAAACATACTTTTTTTTATTCGAAAATGCAAAAAACAAAAAAAAAATTTTTAAATTTAAAAATAAAAAATATATAAGATAAATAAATAAAATAAATAGAAAATTATTTAAGATAAATAAAATATCTTAAGCTAAGTCTGTATATATTTGGAAGAATGTAAAGTTGTAGTAGCATTGACTGTCGATGGGCCCTTATATCTGCACGTATATATATAAAAATAAATATTTTTATTAAATTTATTAATTTATTCTCAAAATTAATGCATTTTTGCATATTGTATTGTGTACTTTATTTAAGGAAAATTTCGATTCGCATTTATTTACCTGCCATTTATTATAAACCAAGTACGATTCTCCTCGTTAGGCTTCTCGTCGTATTTCCTGCTACTGAGTTGTTTCACGGTGTTCGCTTTCGTTTTAGCTTTAGTGAAATATTTGATAAGGGGCTGCCACATTACCTGGTGTCTAGCGTAATAGGCTTTATAGTTTTTCGCATCATCAATAGTAAAAGGCATCGCATTCATCCTCTTTCCACCGTTCGCGGCGAAAGGCTTCGTTTTCTTTGATGGGCTAATTGTTCGCTTTTTAGTATTCAATTTTAGGTTTCGTGGTGGATAGAGAATTTGTCCCGGCATCGGTTCACTCATACGATATTTCCTTTTTCCTAACATGCTATTCAACAACATTCGGGCATTGTTATAAATAAATATCAAGGGTCTCTCTGCGTCTTTAACGCTTTCCCTACCCGGCATAGGATCGAATATAGGTAAATCGTTGTTAATGCTTTTATATCCATTAAAATGTCGTCCGTTAAGCATGGACGATTTGTCTTGCGTTAAATATAGGGACGATATTGGCCGCCTTCCTATGGTATTTTCATTAGTTTTTTGTACGAATTTATTAAAATTTTTATTAATCCTTAATATATTGCGTTGTTGTTGTTGTTGTTGTTGTTGTTGTTGCTGCTGTTGCTGGCGCTGCTGTTTCAATAAAGGATATCCTAAATGATTTCTATGAAATTTTTCGCTAAACACTAACACCATCATTAACGCAATGATCGCATAAAACTTCAAAATTTTTACCGAAATCATTTGTCTTTCTTCGTTGAAATGTTTGCTTATAAATGAGTTGAAATTTACAGTTAAAAGCATTTAATTTATATAAATTTCTTCAAGTTTTCTTCGCAGTTCAACACTTAAACTAAATAAATGTCTTTCGTTTATGGGAAATTTGTCGGTTGGTTGTGTTTTTTTTTTTTTTTTTTTTCTACTTAGTAATAGCTTTACTCTGCTCTGACATACATATAATTTATACTTGTTATTATTACCTTTTAGTTAATAAATTTAATAAAAAAAAAAAAAAAAAGAAGTAAAACGAAATGTGTTGTTATATATAATTTAATATATATATATATATATATGTATATATTTTATAACGCGCAATATTTACTTTACTTTTAAATATTTTCAAGCTTTCTTCTTTCTTTTGATTTATTATGCAACACGTTCGTTAGCAAGCTTGGGCGAACAAGTTTTGTCGAACAAGCATTCAAATCTTATATTATTATAAACATGATCTTTTTTGCATTAACTGATCAGGTGTTAACTAAATTTAAAACGCGTACAACTAAAATAAAAGTTAATAGAAGCCAAGCCAAGCCAAGCCAAGCCAAGTAAATATTCGAAAATAGAGTTTAAAGTCTAGACAAGTTAAAAACTATATATATAAAGGTTAGATAAATTTTGAAAATACTACATATGGCCATAGTAGATAGTGAACATATGGGACAGAATGTAGATAAGTGGCGAACATGAAGAATAGGGATTAGAAGATTGCATATAAACGAAAGAAGCTCAATAGGTCGTGAACAAAGTGAATAGAAGCTAGGCAGTTGGTGAATGTAGGGTACATAGACTAAACAAGATTTAAAAATAGAAGATACCTGCATTATATACGGTTGAACACAGGGGAAGGAAGAGAGGATTGACTCTTGTTTTAAAAGTCTAAGGCCCGACTTTAGATTACTGGCGTGCAATTGCATATGAATACAAACAGCAAAATGTTCATACAGCAACATTGCACCGCAACTATTTAAATTATAAGGACTTATACTCATTAGCCGAAGTCTGGTCGTACAATTCAAAACAAATGGAAATATGAGTTTTATTAGGTTGGGGAGAGAGAGAGACCCCAGTGCATTTAATAATAAATGCTTAAATTTATTTTGGCCAGCGTATATATGTATTTGTAAAAAATGATAAAATAGGGCAAAGTATCCAATGTACATAACGATTAAATCCGATGGTTTCGATCCTCCTCTACACAAAATAACATATTACCTTAAGTTCTTTGATACGAAGACATATGCTACCGAAGACCGCCAAACACTTGCAGAAGGTAATAAGGATGCGGCCGCATCATATCCCAGTTTTCGGCTTTGGCTGCAACGATTAAAAAGTGACGATTTTAATGTTAATGACAACGAAAAGCCTGGAGAACCAAAAAAGTTCGAAGTGAATGACTTGCAAGACTTATTGAACGATAATCCAGCTCAAAGAACAGCGGAACGAACTTTCGAACAGCTTAGCAGCGGATGAATCAACTATTCACACGCGATGCAAATAATTGAAAAGGAGGAAAAATGGCTGCCATACGAATCGATTGAAAATGACATTTCGGCTACATATTGGAAAAAAATGCGACGAATACACTGTTGCAGCTCGTAGGGGAAGTTCTACCGCACGTTCAGATCGATGCAGCATGGCCTGGCCGGCACGTGGCTCCGCCAACTTCATTAAGTGAAACTATGATCAAAGTAAACGCAAGCACCTAATGTAAAACTAGAATTGATTGTCAATTCACTTTAAAACATTATACGCTATATGTAGGTAACGTATAAATAAATATATTGCATAAAATAGAAATAAAAACGTATTTACTAAAGTTCAAAGTTCACAAAGTGCATAATTTTTTTAAGAAATGAAAATATGAAATTATTTCATTTCATTTCATTTCATTACATTGTCAAAAGTTTTTCATAATTTTGTTCTTATTTACGTTTGCATGATTTCGTTATTGACTGTATTATTGTAAAGAAAGGAATTCACAACTTTTCAAAGCTTTCAAGGTACGCCAACCGAACAAGAGTTAACTGAGAGATATATTTAGTCGATAATGAAATATTCTGAAAACGTAGCAGAAATCGAGCGCAAACCGAATTCTATTTCCTCCTCATCTTATTATTATTTCAAATAAATTGACACAGATATCGACATACAATCGGCAGAAGAATGGCCTCTAAATACAAGTCATTGAAGGCTATTCCGATTAAGCTAAACTTAGTCTTAGAATCAAAAAGATACCCAAATAACACATATCTTTACCTTAAAAAAGTTTTCGCGAAAAGGTGGCTCAAGTTGGCGTTTAATAAGCAAAATGAAATGATTCTCAGTCAGATTTGATATGAATAACGCAAAAAATAGCAGGACATGGACCTATGTCTTTAGAGATTTAACGCTTCTTACTACCGTAAAGACCTAAATCCGTAAAGACCGATGGTACACATGGTGAGACAATGTCACCTATCGTTCTACGACTCCCGCGTACTATGTGGACACACATTATATAGACTTGATCCCAACTCTTGTCCATCACATTTCTTTGCCTTTCTTCAACTCAAGCATCCGATTATTGTACTACTCATTGGCCAGATATGTCTAGAATAGGTCTTATATGAATACTCGCCCAAAGGCTGATGTCCATTATATCTGCTAATACAAGGGATTATTTAAATATGAACCAGCAACACCCAATGACTGAAGCAATTCCTATACTAACAGACGCCATTACTCCTAGAATACACGAACAATGAAAAGTGTACAACCGTTCAATCCCCTCTGCGAAAACTGCCAGACCTTTCTACAACTGAATATTTATTGTTGACCCTTCTTTAGTATTACCACACTGTCATTACGATACTTCTTAAAGGCCCTTAAAGGCTTAAAGGCAGTCATTAAAAACTATCAGCAATCATTCTACTGCCATTGTTTGTCATAATTCTTTTACCATTTTTCTTAAGTTTTCTCACGCCCGCGATACTTTCAGCATTCATTTGGCAACTTCGCGTTTTACGCTTGCTTCTTACGGCATCCGTACAATCCCGAAGTGCATCCAATATATTGGTATTTTTGCACACAAACATCGACATAATCCAACACTCTACCATCTCTTAGAACCTATTACCTCTCAGTATTTTATATGCCCGATACTTTACATGTCTTCGTTGACTCTGGAGAATGAAATGTTAAGAGAAGCTGATAACGTGAAAATGCAATCTGGTTTTGCCTACGAACATTGACATATTGAAGACACAATTGACTTATGAAGGAAGGAAAATTATTTTATAATATTTGTATTAAAAGAAATTGAAGAAAATAAATCCGTTTGATCCCTGGTACACGCACTTATCATTCAATCTTTATATATCTATATACACAACATGATAAAATGTTCAACAAGAAATATAATTTAAAAAAAAAAAAAAAAATTATTAAAAAGCAAATACAATAACGTGAATGTATTGATAATAAGCGCAAACATTCGAGGATACATAAGTAATAATAACTCTCTCCGCGTTACGAATTTTACACAAATTACTTTTAAATATTCATAATGGAATAGTTTATATAATAATAACTAATAAGAAAAACCTTTTCCACCTAATTTCATTCTATTTCATTACGAACAGCTATCGAACAATAACTAACTACATATTAAAAGCAGCAGCAGACATATGTACATGTCGTGTGCGTGTGTGTGTGTGTATGTTTGTCGTTGCACACAAAAATAAAGCACGCGCGGATAACATTTCCGTTGACTGACTTTCAATTAAGCTTCCGCTTCTGAAATGAAAACCAAAACAGTACCACCAACTCCAACAACAATACCAATAAACGTAACAAAATAAAATAATACATAAAACGCATAAAATATATGAAAAAAGAAAATAATAAAAATAAATAAAAATGTAATAAAGTCTAGTAACATGCATAAAGAAAATTCAACACTTACACAAACATGCACACACACACACACACACACACACACACACACACACACACACATGCACATGCACATGCACATGCATATAACATAATAAACGGTTACAATATTTTTGGTTTTTTTTTTTCTGTTTTTGTTGGTACAACACCCACCTAATAGTGAAAATGTTAAAGCCGCAAGTAGTAAAGAGAAGGAGAAGAAGAAGAAGAAGAAGAAGAGAAATAATGAAAATATTAAGTTACAATTGAATGAACATTACAAAATAAAAATCATACATGTAGACAGACACACACATATAAAGAATGTAGAGAAAAATAATGATACAATACAATGAGAAAAATTCGACACAAACACAGGCACACATTTCGCACATGCTTTTTCATATAAATATAAATAATGATATAATAATGAAGAGCTAAGGAAGTGATGAACAAAAATATTGGCCAAATACGACTAACACTACCAGCATTAACATTACCATTACCATCACCACCACACAACCAATCATACAACTCTCACATTTTTATTTTAATTGTTGAAATGATTTCGTTTTGATGTTTCGTTTCGTTCGTGTTATAAAAGTTTACGGCAGGCAACGATCGATATGCATAAACAAAACTCAATCCGTAGAAAACACACCTGGCCGGAGATTTATACCGATTATAACGGGATTATTTAATAATAATAATTTTTTTTTTTTTAATTTCCTTTTTTGTGCGTAATTTTGCTCAATTTTTGGCAAAATATTTTTTAAAATATGTACGCTGATCGTGTAAGGGTAAGCGACAAACATACATGTATAGCATTTCAATATTAATCATTGTCGTTATTATTATTGTTGTTGTTATTGCTGTTGTTGTTGTTGTTGTTGTTGCTGTAATTATCCTTATAATGCGTACATGGAAAAAGAAAATTATTTTATTTGTTTTCTTTTTCTTTTTATTTTTTGTTTTTTTTTTGTCCTTTTTTCTTTACATCGTTTCGCTGTAGCTGTTCAATGTTTTCATAGCTCTATTATTGGCCATGTTAACAATAGTTAGTCATACGAAAGCGAGGTGAGTTTTCGTCTATAGATCGTGTAATATCTTAAATTAAAAACTAAAAAAAATAAATAAATAAATAAATAAATAAATAAATTTTTTTGAATTGATCATCATCGTGATCATCATCTTCATCATCATCATTATCATTATCATCATCATCAGTGGTCATCATGAAGTTAAACATAAAAAGGTTGTCATTCATGTTCCTATTCACAAGAAAATCGAAAAACATACGCATACGATTGTCAAGCATATACATCATCATCATAAGCCTATTGTAGTTAAGGAGGAGAAGAAAATTATTGAGGAACATTATCCGATTATTAAAAAAGAGACCGTCAAACACGATCATCATCATCATCATGAAGCGAAACATGATCATAAACATGAACATAAACATGAGCATAAGAAAATTGATAAACCAAAAGAATACGATGATGAAGAAGAGCACATTCATCATCATCATGATTATGAGCATAAAACGCAAGAAGAAGAGAACACTTCGCCTCATCTTGATTACTATGAAAGACATTAACAATCATTTTTCCATATAGTCGCTGTATAGTTAGTTAACAATTGTTTAGTTAAATAAATATTAAATAAATAATAAAGAGTGATGAACAAATTAAAAAAGAAAAACTTAAACTCCACCCCTTTAATTTAGAAATTTATTATATTCATCGGCCTATTTGTCTTCTGCTGCTTCTTCGTTGTAAAATGTTATGTAAGTTGAAAATTTGATTAGACGAAGAAGCTTAGTCTACAAATTCTTTCATTTTTTTTTTTTTTTTTTTTTTTTTTTATTTTTTTCGTTAAGCAAAGTTTTAAAATTAGAAAAATAGATATACAGTCTATCATTTATCAACATTTTAGAAGAAGACGGAAAACTTTAGTAAGATACTCGGCTGGAGACGAGTCTCGTGTATCTACCACGTTATTTAATACTTCTTCCTACACATATATATATATATTTATATAGCATATATTTATAGAGGATGCTCTTTCCATTGAGACTGGGACAAGAAAAACTAAACCAGTTCAATTTTGTTATTTTATAATAATGAGTGGGCGTGGTCAAGTTTTTCTAATCATCAAAAGTATCATCTATCTTCCTACTTACCTTGATAACTTATAAATTTATGTGGACGTGGCCATAATGCATACAATACGCATCGTAGGATTATCCATGAAATAAATTGAAGAAATTTCATCGTTCTATCTATCGTTCACAAGAGAAACTTTTACTTTACGCCTTACTCTGGATGTGTCTTTTGCCCAATTTTACTCACTGTTTTCTTATTAATCTGCATGCAAGAGCTTCCAAGATTACTGCCAAGTCTATAGTAAGTGTGAACAACATACATCTGCAAAGGCTAAATAGATTCAGTATTTGATATCGATCAAGACGTACGTATATGTATATACTTTATAGGATATCTAAAGCTTCCTTTTTGGACACCATTCTTCGGTGATAGATATTAAAAAAAAAAAAGATATATGAAATTAATCATCGAAAATTTTGGCCCCCTCGATGCCTCGATGTAGTAGAGTTTCGAGAGGGCCCAACGAAATCTCTGCGTTTATGACTGAATATTGCGAAACTATTGCAATGACGCGAAGCGAAACATTGCTGCACTGCTTTAAAAATCTCAGTACTAAGATCGGACATTAAACTCTAAACGTATGGCTAGTATCACACACAGTCTCTCACACAGCGTATCTCTTCGCCTTTCTTTCGTAGACTGCAACGATGCAATTTTAGCGTTCATTGCCCTACATAATCGCAACCGATAATTTCAAATCGAACTACGATTGAATCCTTCGATAAACATTGTGGTACACTTGCCGAAAACGTGTTAAACCTTTACATGTCAAATAATATTAAGTTTCTTCCACTATTGTACAATATTGTATAACGTAAGGATAAAAGGCTACTAACGTAAATAAGATACGTTTTATACCTTTGGACGGACAATGCGAACCCTCTTCGTCAAATTCCGAATTAGAAATTATCCAATCTCCACGGATGGCTCTATGATGATGATCAAGGCAGGATGAAAGCTTACCAATTCAGAAGTCGTAGACAGTTTGTGCCCCCTTTTCTAAGTGTTCACTTACCTCAGTGAAAGGAATCCTAAAACAAAAAAAACAAAACCGAAAACCCACAAAAGTGGATTTCATTTGACGTATATTCCAGCCAAGCAACTCATGGCAATTTCAATTTTCAAATATGACTGAAATCGCTACGCTGCTGCACTTGAGCCATCGTTAGGGAAGATATTTACGTAGTAGAGCACCTCAATGCAAGTTCTCATTATTTGAGAGCAGATTTCAAATATGAATAAATAAAAGGTGATGATAAGTCTAAAGGATTGAATAATTCAATCACATCCAATAGAACTTGACGTCTACTAATAAATTGATAAGCATTGTGGTTAATCTTATACCTTGTGATATATCCAATCTTTAGGTACCAGCGAAAAATTGGTCTTGGTAGGGCTGATAATTCAGATATTACATTTGATTTGGAAATTCATTGTTTTAGCTCTACTGCGACATGTTGCAATACATCAATGAACTTATTTAGAACAGGGAGGGATGAGTGTTTGCCATTTATTAAGGTTAATATAACGCGAACGTCCACTGCAGTTACATCACATGATGACTTGGTGGGCAATTTTTTACTAAAATTTTTGAAATACATTTTTAGAAGAAAAAACTAGAGAATCTATAGATCTCTCGATCTACAGCTAGTAAGTACGACGGATTGAAAATAAAGTTGCATTGACAGCATAAAGCTTTCTCGGAATTAAATGCATTGACGTTGGCACCTTTTTGCTTTTCCTATATCAATATCAATATCAATATCCCCCTATTCTAGATATGAGATTTTCAAACAATCCATTACTCTCTACTAAACACAATCCATCGCTTATCTAATTTTCAATCGATTTATAATAACAACATTATACGTACATTAACTAATTACCCCTCTTACCATATTCAGGAGCAGTTAAATAAATCCCTGATAATTTTCATCATTATCTCATCTGTTAACTTTCTTAAACCTCCCGAGCTTTCATTGGCGTATTGATTATAAATCTTAATAATGAATTCGGTATTTGCCACGTCACGTTACAGGAAGCATCAATTACGTGCATTTGTCTTGCTAATCTGTCTGCGTTATCCCTTAACTGAACTTTTAAATATTAAAACTTTTGAGTAATGAATAAATTTTCGTTGGAATCCAACGACGCTTATCTTCAAATTTTTGAATGCAACCCACTACCTACCGCTTACTTAATAAATTATCCAAATTATCCGAATTTTAAACAACACTGCGTTCCTTCTTTTTATATTGTTTCATCTTTATGATGCCTAAATGATACAAATGCCTCTTCAGGATATACATAACGTTCAGTAGATACCGTTGAATAGTCTCAGTGCACATGCAAGAGTGTCACGGTATTTGGAATACATTTACACCATCCTCGCGCCATCCAAAGTAATTCGTTATAATCGGTTGAAAGATCTTATATCTTGACCGTAGACACATGATGGAAATGGTGAGGATTTTGGCACAGACAGTGAAATACTTTTTCCACTTTTTTTTTAACGCCTTGACTGCGTCTTTCGGCACTTCGTGTTAGCCAATGGATGTCATTTTGTATTTTCATACCTACATCATTATTATTCTTCTGCATTGACACTACTAACGGAAAATAAATGTTTATCATTTCTGGTGTACGATGAAAGACAACTCTACGAGAGAGAGAGAGAGAGAGAGAGAGAGAGAGAGCAAGAGCGTTCGTTCTTGAGGCAAAATCCATTGATTTGCGGAATTTCAACGAAAAAATATTTCAAAAATTGCGAACTATACGTTGAATACAAGAATACAAGACAGACATTCGGACAGTCTTGTCGAGAAGCCTGATAAATCGATCGGTATAATAAAAGTTGATTCTGTATAGTATAGTTGCGCACAAACTTAAGATAGCCTTGTACCAGAAATGATGTAGGGTAATCTCTTATCACAATGAATGAACTAAAAGTGAAAAAGAGGTAAAATCATTTCGAAATCAATTTTCCAATCAATTTTCGAAAAAATTTTCCAACTGAGCGCCATGATCATTTTTCCGTTCATGATTTCTCTCTCTTGCGTGTAGTGAGTGATAACGATGTGGTTTGAGTTTTTGGCATTTTCATGTTTCACATGATATACATATCACTGCATTTCTAATCAAAACCTAAAGATATTATCGATCAACAATTTAGAAATTTAAAGATCAATTAGAGACAATTACGTTGTCGTTATAAGTGGACGTAAGCACGGCCTGAGGTATTTAAAATTTTGCGCTGAATTTTTTAATCAATTCTCGTTTATATACACATGCATTTTTTTATTGCTCATAGTATACAAGATGATGATGGACATAACATTAATTAAGTACAAGATACAAAACTCTTTCATTTATTGCTAAATAATAATAAAGAGTAGAGTTATGAAAAAATTTTAACATCTAATTAAGGCCACAAAGTTAATTTTGCCAAAATTTGCGCTATTAAGTGTTTTTCTTTTCTATTTTTTTTTTTTAAAGCTACTAATCTTAAGGACAATTTGCTTAATTTTAATACTTATTATGATTAATATTTTAAAATGAAACGGTTATAAACATTTATAAAAGAAACTAAAATAATAAAAAAAAAAAACGACACCTATTATAGGTTAATTACATACACATATATATATGTAGCACTTGACATTATTCTTTTGAAATAGAAACGAAAATTTATACATAAAAGTTTATAAAATATTATTGTGATGTATGATTTAAAAAATTACCACAAAAAAAAAAAAAAAAAAAAAAAATTAAAAAAAAAAAGAAGAAAAATGGAAAGGGAAAGTGAAAATGAAAGCGAAAGCGAAAATTGAGCTGCCGGTCAACAGGAATAAGATGTTGTTACCAAACAACGAGAGAGAGAGAGAGAGAAAGAGATAGGGAGAGAGTTCTCTTTACATACATCTATTTAATATAAGCTTAAGCTAAACTTAAATCTATATTAGCTTAACGAAGGCACATTTGTTGTTAGAAATTAAAAAAAAAAAATACTTTTTAAGAACTTTAAAAAATTTTTTGAAAAAATTTTAAAATAAGAGACAATGTGAATATATATATATAATAATAATGTATATGTATATATATATATATATATATATATAAAGTTACACAATACAGCTAAAGCATTTTTAAAAGTGAAATATTTTCTGTGTACAAGAAATACTTTGATTAGTTAAAGCGAGTGTTGTATACTCTTGTTCCATTTTGTTTTTTTTTTTTTTTTTTTTTTTTTTTTTTTTTGTTTCCATTTTTTTACTTAAGATATCTAAAAGAATCTCAAACTTTGTACAAACAAGTCTCTGGTGGCCATAATTGATGGCGAGGGTAACTCAATTAATTTTTTGTTGTTGGCCAAAAGCAGATAATTCCTTTTGGGTTACATAACCGGATATAGGCGGGAGATTGCATAGAGCACTCCTACCTGCACTAGCAGCAATATCGACACCGATAGTTTGTTGCGGCACAGCAGAATGTGTGGACTTGGTTAACGTGTCCAAGGAAGTATAACCGTCAATGGTGCTTTGAACTGTGGGCTGAAATAAAATATGTAATTTTTTATTTAAATTTTAAAATTAAAAAATCTCATTGTACGTGTAAAATCTCAACCAGCTATTGAAAGGTTTTTGGGGAGAGCATAGGACGGAATAGGGTTACAGTTAACAAATGTATTTAAATATTGTAGCAAATGTGCTTTGTAGATGTTATTGCGGGAATTTTTCAATTACCGGGAAACATTGTGAATGAGAATTAAATTCTGAACCATGGGCCTTCTGTGAAAGACGCAACTTCTCACACCTATCAACCTATTCACCTATCAAGCTATTTCGTTCGCGGAATACGTTTAGTAAAAGATAAAAAGACTTCAATAAATGAAATAAAAATTTTGCGTCAAATATTTGTTATCATGCAAGCGTGCATTTAAGATGCTCGCTGTCAAAGGGTCCTTCTCAAGCCAAATATAGCTTGGACTAATGGTTGGTTGCTGGCGTCGAATTTGAGACGAATGTATATAGTTTTCGATTAAAAAACGTTAAGCTATTCGTTAAAGAATCTTATCATTCTTCAATAAACCAAGATTGTCTCCCATTTAGCTCTAATCCTCCTTTCGCCATTAACGATATACGAAATAAACACTTACCTTTTGCACTAGCTGTGATGCCACGTAACCGTTGATATTGTTAGTTGAAAAGAAATCATTGTCATTGTGGCGAGGAGATATCGATGATATATCGTGTGACTTTTGTGAATTAATTTGCCAATTAAAAACGTTATTTGGTTTTATATAACCATTCTCAGGATGCATTATTTGTGGCAATTGTTTAATATAGCCGCTGCTGCTAGCTGTTGCTATGGGAGTTATGGCGGCGAAATTTGGTTGCACGTAACCGTCTACCGATGTTATAGGATTAACATATGCCTGCGATTGGGATGAAGATTTATTTTCATTGGTTTTCATTAACTCCATCACCATATAAGCGTCGTCGACAACGGACGGTGATTCAAAAATACAACTTTCTGTAGTGTTGTCAACGGTCGTGGTGCAAGTATCCTGACCATCGTAATCTTGAGAATGATTTGAACCTACGTAGCCGCTGCTCTTACTTAATGAGCTGGCGACTATCTCGTCTACCTCGCCCAGCTGTTCATTATTGCACATGTAAGTAGAGTCGCGCGATATAGACGATAATAAATGACGACTTTCGTTGTTGCTAAATGATTCTTTGCTAGGTCTAAAGTCACCTCCGTCCCCCGAATGTTTGCTGGGGTATGTTATCGCAACCAAACCCGGTGGCAGAGCACAAGATATATTAGCCATTTTATTATACTTATTTCGGGCAACATAGAAAGCAGCCATTACACCCAACGAGGATACAACTACGAGCAAAGCTAACATGGTGATGCGGCTTAATTTGGTCGATGAACAATTATAAGTCGGTCCTTTTTCCCAAACCGATTTATATTGGACATATTTTTTACCATTACGATAACGTTCAATCAATTGTAGTTGCGCTTCCTCGCTAAAAGAAGTGCCGATACATTTCAAATCATTATTTTCCGTATAGGAGCTAAGTAAATCCAAGTCTTCGTCTGTACTATTGACAGCAAAAATCAGATAATCGATTTCACTGCTCCGTTCGGCTATATTAACAGCCCGCACCTGCACTGTATGCCGATAATCAGCATCTATACATATTGGTATATGAAAAACACATTCGGTAGAGCCTACGACCCCAGATACATGTTGACGTTGTATTTGTTCTTTATACCAAACAATGACGGCAACTTCATAGTATTCGACACGGCCCGACGGAACTTCCGGTTTATACCATTGCAATACTGTCTGATTTTTCTCTTTGCTCATCATGTGTCGCGGATTGGATGGAACTTGGATGGAAGATTACATCGAATTACGTTATTTAATAATGCTTTGAGAAATTCAAATTTTTATTCTTACTTCCTATAAGTGTTTTCAATTGAATATCATTGCTGGGTATCGAAGCGGCATTCGTATACGCCGTAACATATACTTTATAGCTCGTATAACTGCTTAGATTTTCCAATTTATATGTAAGATCCTTATGAGAACATACTTTTAATTCTTTGAAACAATCCAGAGCATGATATTCATTATTGTATCTAGAAAATATTGAATTGAAAATAATTCAGTCAATCAATCAATTATAGCATAGAATAAATAGTTTATAGAATTACTGTATAACATATTTGCGTATTTTGCCATTGTGATGAGCAGGGGCCGTCCATGTTATAACCGCTGAATTGCTTGTTATATTAAACGCTTTCAAATTGCGAGGCGCTGACGGAGCTATACGACATATATATATATATATAATATTATAATTAAATTTCCTTTTCTTTTTTTTTCTTCGGCACTGTATAAAACACTCACCTTCTTCGGTCGTATTTATTACTTGCGTTTCACTAACTTTACCCTTTTTTAGCTTACTGAACATATACATCTCAATTTTATATGAGGAAAAAGGCTTCAAATTGTTAACCACAAATTTCTTAGCTGTGCTCGGTATTGTTACGGTGGTAGTATCTTCCATGCAGGGTAAACTTTCGAAACCGTTCGAGATAATATTTGTGGTAGTACGATGTATGCGACAATATGTTAAATTATAACCCTCCAGTAATGAAGAACAAACGCGATCGGAACTCCATTGTACGCTAATGGAACGTGGCGATGTAACCGAAAATTCAGGCTCCAATTTAACCAGATCGCTGGCAATATCGGCTGTACACATCGTCCAATGCATACCACTATTATATTCCAAGTAATTAGCCGAAACAGCTAAATTTAAAGTTTGCTCTTGTTCTTGCGGTAAAGTTGCGAAACGAGTATTCTCCTTACCGACATGCTGAAATTGTATGGTATCCTATAATGGATGGATACTTTGTTATAATAATAAAACATAGCAATTGCAATAAATTCATTTTTATGTACCCGGCATTCATTGGGCACAGCCTGTTTCGACTGACACCAGAATACTGTATAGTCAATTAAATTGCTTTGATTGGTGGGAGGACTCCAAGACAATGTGTAACTACGATTGGCCGCATGATAAATATTCCGTATCCATTGCGGATTCATTCTTTCATGATGTTTACCCCAAGCAGGTACAATAATGCTGCTACTATCTTCCGATTCACCCTGACTGTTATTACTTTTAATTGCGAACTCATAACGATGACGCTTATGCCAAGTAAATATCGCCGAAGAACGATCAATATGTATTGGTTTCAAAGGCCTAATAATAAATAGAGAAAATGAACAATAATTATGTAATTGCCTGCCTGTATATAAATGAATGAATTTTTAATATTCATCATTACTTACACTATAACGCTGTCGCGTTTTACTTGTTTAATGACATATTGAAAATCTGGTCCATTTTCTTTGTATTCAGGCAATTGCTGCCAATATAATCGTACCCGTGTTTCGCTTGAATCTATATAAAAACTGCCTATATCCGTTTTGGGTGGCAATTCAGGCGGACAAGCTGTAGTTTGAAATTCTTGTTCGCTTGGCTCGCTCCAGGTGCTTTCATCGTTACGTGCCATCCGTTTAACCCTAATCCGTACACATATTTGATACCAATAATAAGCGTATGGTAAATTTCGCAAAATTAATTTGTATTCTGAGCGATTACTGCGTATTTCGTAATTTGAATGATTCATCCAATCGAAATCTCTCGGACGCAAACGTATATCGTATTGCAAGCCTTTCGATGTGTAATAACTATACTTAGGCATATGCCATTTTAAAACGACGCTACTATTGGTAATTTTCTCAAACACATATTCCGGTCGCGGTGGTATAACTACAAACGAAAAATGGGACCAACTTTAAATAAGGAAATGTACAAAAATGAAAATAGAAATAAATAAATAAATAAAGCATCACACCGGGTGTCCGTAGACTTTTCTCAAATGCATATTTCCACCCCGCCTTAAAGATTCAAAAGTTAAATTAAACTGAATTATGAATTGAATGCGTCTCCGTTCTAAAGAGAGTTTGATGCCTACAAATTTTTACGTGCTAAGGATACCTCTAACTGTTTTCTTCTATGCGAGATATTGCAAAAAAGAAAGCGCATTTCTTTAAAAATTCTAATGAGTAGAAGGAGAGCTTATCATAGCCTTGGCATGTGCTTGCACTAGATATTGGATATCGATCCAGATATCGATCTGGTATATTATGTAAGTTATTAATAAAAAAAAAAATATATATTAGGAAATTGAAGAATCGTCGATTTAAATAATCGACAAGCACCTACATGCGCCTATGCAGAGTTGTGAGTAGCAGATTGAATGCGATGAATATATGAATTTTAACCTTTCAAAGTTTGAATTTTTTTTTTTTTTTTGGGCTATCTAAACGTAATGAAAATTTCCTTCTCTTTTCTGATTCATTTCATTCGCTATTACGTGTATATTGTTAAGCACATCTTAAGTCGGGCAATATACTTCTTGCCTGACAGACACATAAATGAAACGGCTAGACATTATAATATGCTATCGTTAAATTGGTAGAATTGCCAGACGACCTGAGATATAGCTTCATCCTGATATGTTAAGTAACATATGCTTAGAATGTTTCTGAGAAATATTCTTTTCAGTTTTCTTAAAAATGAATATAATAAGAAACCGAAGACCGTTATCCTAAAAAAGACAAAAGCATGAACAAATTCTTATCATAGAACACTAACAATTAGACCTTTTTGGCATACAAAGGTTTACATTTCCTAAACAGTTCTTATATGCAATGGTATCCAAAAAAAAAAAATAAATAAATAATAATAATAATAATATTCACCAGAAAATGTTAAGAATGGGTATATGAAAGCGAATTAAAAAAATGACCCCACCCGAATCAAATTTTTCATACTACTTTTTAAATGTCGAAATACTATTACACTGCGAGTTGAAAATTCCCAATTGTTTCGCTATAACGACTTTTCAAAATAAAGCGTTGTCAGGTGGATGATCGAAAAACTGGATCGATCCGAGTCATTTTCAATAACATTAGTCGTTAAGTCAAAACACGTCAGTGTATCAAATATCATCGCAATATCTAAAAATATTGCGATCTATCGGATGAATACAAAAATACATGAACATACATCGGACGGACAATAGACAAGGATAAAAGCTTATATATCAAGCATGCGTCTATCTTAAGCTCATCGGAGTGTTACATACGTTCGCTCACATTTAAAATACCCTTTAGCTTAAGTGGTATAGGACGATATAAATAAAGTGAGTTTACTGTATTGAAAGTCCTATAATTATATTAAACCGAAGCTATTTCGCTGGAAGCAGTTTACTTAATATAATATAGAAAATATCCGCTGTTTAAGGGTTTTTTAAAGTTAAACATTCACTCATTTTACCATCGAATTTCCTCCTTCAGTTATAAAGGTTTTCCGAGCCAATACATTGGTGCCGTTTGCACGTTTGTATAGATCGCATGCATATTATTTCGCTTTATTTATATTTTTCTTTTGAATAATAAGCATTACGTTTATTGATATAAGCTATTAATTGTTATTCTGAATTAATTAAATAATTTTACATGAAATTTTTCCTTCTTTCTTTCTGTCTGTCTCTCTGTCTGTCTGTCTTTCTTTCTTTCTTTCTTTCTTTCTTTGTTACTACTTACCGCTCTCATAATGATTTATCCAGAAACTTTGCACATTCGTCCCCACCTCATTATGTCCGATTAATGTAAAATTGTAAAATTCATAGTTAGGGCGATAGTTATTCCTGTCCACCGTCAGATTGCAAATACCTTCATTTTCTTGAATTTCCAATTGACACATTTGCAAATAATTCTGTGAATAAATGATTCGATAAAAACGATTACCATTTTTATCCTTATCAGATATGCGTATCTATTATATATATATATATATATATATATATATATATGTATAGGGATTAAAAATTTCATTTAATTTTGCATGATATTGCATGCATGCATGCATGCATGTACATGATGTATTTGTTGTGTATTGGAATAAATTCAAGTGGATGTGGATATAAATGTGGGCGTGTTTGTATACGTCACATTGTGTTTACCATATCACATTTGACCATAACCAAAAGAAATGGAATAATAATTAGTAAGAGAAATGTTAATAAAAGTTGCCATTGATTAATAATTGGTGAGTGGGTAGATAGATATGCAATAAAAAGTCAAACGAAGGGTTAAAAATGGACAAAGTGCGAGCGCAAACGTATGTTATTATTCATTATATTATAAATACGTATATATATATATGTATATATAGAAATAGTTATGTATGTTTATACATATATATAAATAGTTAAATAAATAAAACAATAGTTAATTCAGATTATCACATCCCAAATTATTGTTGTTGTTTTGATTGTTGTGGTTGTTGTTGTTGTTGTTGTTGTTGCGTGTAGTTGTTGTTGATATTAGTTGAAAATTTTTATTTATTGATTTTTAAAAAATTATTATTATTATTATTATTATTATTTTTTTTTTTTTTTTTTTTTTTTTTTTTTTTTTTTTTAATAACAAATTTATATTTAAGAGTTAACCATGCCCACAAAAGTCCATAATGATTACATTCCAAAGAATAACGTATAAAAGAATAAAAGAAAAATTTAAAGAAAATACAAAATTAATTACAATTAAAAATAAATAAACTAAAAATTACATGAAAAAGACAATAATACCAGTAATAATAAATTGTTGAATAAATAAATTAAATTAATTTTATGCAAATAATTTTATAAAATAATAATAATTAAGCAAGCAGTTAGACAAACTTGCAAAATTATTCATCAGTTATAAGGCGCATGAAATAAAGGCGCAAATAAAGTTTACACTTTAATATGAACTGAATGTGCCTGATATTGCGCGATACTATTGCATAACCATAAACCTGTCAGTATTCCTAAAGACTCGTACACTGCTTCTATTCAACTCCAAGAATAACGTAATACAGGCTCTTAAATAATGCATTCCTCAATGATCTCAAAGACCATTCACATTATATTGATATTAGGGATATATTCATAAAGGAATCGGAATTGTATAGTCGCGTGACTTTCTTCATTTCACTTCAGTGAAGGCTGAGATCTGCCATCTACATGAATTCAATTTCATAACGAAGGTCGGTAATTGACTTAATGTGAACCCGATTTCAAATCTATTCGAACCGAACCTAACTTATTATTATTCAATTCCGGCGTAGCGTAAGTTGGACTAAGATCTAAACTAAATTCAAAATATTTAACGCGAAAATTTTCCGCGAATAATACTAATGCCCATACCAGGTGAATACGCAGTAATAAACGCATAAGGGAAAAATTTTAGAAATTCGTGTCATATCCTCCTTCGTTGGCACATGGAATTTTGCTTTTTTCAAAAAATCCAATAGCAAGCGGAATGTCATTTAAATAGCTTCATATAGGCGGGGCATTGTAGAACTGTCATCAAATTATGGGCATATAATCAATTTATCCACCTTCCCCCTATCCCATAAAAAAAAAAGAAAAAGAAAAAAAAAAAAGACTTATCAAGATTTTACCCATAAAGTGTACATATATCAAATAAGCGCAAAAGTTTCAATTAACTCAGCCGAATCCTTCTCTATCTCTACTCGTTCGAATCATTCGAATTTTCATTGTTCTCGAAATTGTTTAAATTGTGACAGAAAGTTGACATCTGTTACATAAGCAGTCTAAATTTCGGTTTGGCAAATGCAGTTGAAAAAGAGGGTGCAAAGACTGGACTCGAAATTTCTCAACTGAAATATAACAAATCAAATTGAATTTATGGCAAATTTCAGAACCCTTTGAAATCTTTTCGAATTTCTATAATGGATATCTTTTTTAAAAAAAAAAAAAAAATTTTTAATAATAGCGTTTGAACAATCATAACAATGCAAGTAAGATTTTTTTTTATTAAAATTCTCCTTATCATCGAGAGTTCTGGACAAACGTCAACTCTAGTTTGCCATACATGCATAAACGTAGTCTTCTTAAACGATTCGCTTTGCCCATTTTATCATCATGTCGTCGTGATGATAAATGCAACCAAAGTTTCCCGAGAGACTGTTGTCAGTGAAGGAATATCTCTGCATCTCTGCTGTTGCCAGATATGCCAGATGAAACTCGTTTAAGAAATGAAAATAAAATGTTGCAGTTTGTTCTTGCGACCCAAAGCCAAAACCAAATAATGATATTACCCTTGGGGGCCCAAATAAAATCGCCAAAAATTGTTCTCATCTATTCGGGATTTGCCTTGAGCCAAAAAAAAAAAAAAAACCAGCTACCACTCCTCTTTGATTCATTCAATGACTTCGCTTCGTTATTGAACTAAAACTCTCCCGAATGCTCTTTAACCAGTTAATTGTATATGACAAATATATGCGCATTTTTTGATCCGTCCATCCGTGGACTTTGTCGAATTTCTTTCTAAAATTTTCTCATAATAATACATTTTAGAAAATAATTTTTTTTTTGTAATTTTGTCAAGTCATTTCGTTACAATCTAATTTCATATTAAACATCTATTACGGTAAATAGATCGATGCACAGATAACTAACTGTATTAAATAAAGTATAGAATTTGACTGTTTTGATAAGCAATTCGCGTCAACATTTTCTAACGGAAAAAACCCTACACGCCACCAAGCCATAATACAATTATCACTATCGACATATAGTTGCGATAAAATGGTGCAAGTAACTCGCTCAACCGTCGAGGCAATCGATTTATTGATTATTGATATTTCAGTGAAATGCCCAGCACGTCAATACGAATCCTTTGTTCAATTATTATTAATTCAAGTACGACAAAGACAGACATATAAATTTGTCTTATACAACTGATATATTATTAAGATAAGTCCTCCCCATATAGCAGCTATATATAGTTATTTGCTTTCTTATCTGTGTAAGCGATAAAGTGAATGAATTCGATGAATTCGATTCTATTCTTTCTAAATGGTGTGTATAGTTAATATCACTTGTTTATATGTATAAAATAAGTGTATTAAGTAAAGCTTATCTAAATTTTTGCACTCTTTATATACCCATCAGTCAACGATGTGGAGTATATTCATTTTGTGAAAACGTTTGCGACGCCCAGATCGCAGCTTCACAGACCCCCATACATATTATATATATGTTTTTGATCAGCAGACCGTCTGTCCGTCTGTGTAAAGTCTGTTGTAAACATAGTTCTGGCAGCAAACATAAAAGCTATAAACTTCAAATTTGACAGAAACGTTAAAAGTTCTTGCATGCAGCAGAGTATTGAATATGAGTCAAATCGTTTGAATACCTTGTAAATTGAGAACAACTCTGTTTATCACAAAAGGAAGAAAACAATTGGATTTTCTGATCATTTGTCATACACATATATAACAGAGGAATGTACCAGTATATGAAAGCATATTCTATGGGTGATGCTGCAGCATTTGCGTACAAAAATGGAAAAAAGAGAAAATTGACCACGCCTATCCCATATTATAGTGTATCAAAATTTAATTGTTTTTTTCAATATTTTTCTAATGTGCAGAGAGAAGCTTCCAAAGCCCTATATAAAGTATATAAATTCTTGGCCAATTTCAAATTTAAACTGCACTTAAACATATTCGCCTATTCGTCTGTCCATCCAATTGTCCATCTGTCCATTCGTCTGTCCATCTGTCTGTTGGCGCAACTTTGTAATATTCTCCCGTTACCGGAAACGGACTTAATTTAATTTTTTTTTTCTCAAAACCTTTATAACGCAAACTATATAGAAATTCCTGTCGAATTTCGGAAATTTGGAATATACCTAAACATGTCCGTCCATTCATTTGTCCATCTGTCCGTTTCATCAATAATGTTAGTAATTAGTTCGAAAAAATAAACTTCTTCGCCTACAAACTTATAAAACAATTTGCAAATGACAAAAACTTTTCACGATACACGCCTACAACGTTGATATAAGAAAACCTGTGAACATGTCTGCCTTTCATATGTTTTGCTTGTTATTGTTTTATTGTTCAAGTACAACACATACAACATAAAAATTTGCACTTTCAGTATGAAAATATTAAAAATCAGCCATGCCCACCCAATACTGTAGAATATGAAAATTTAGTTCTATTTCTTTCTTTTTTTCGACTTTTTTAGGATAACGATGATGGATATGAAGTATTCGGTCATGACCGAATATAATTTTTTGATTTGTTTAAATTTTTTTTTTTTCTTTTTTTTTTTAGAAATTCTTTAGAATTTTTCAAACTATTATTACGTTTGCACATTCAGTGAAATGTTTCTAAATATTCATACTGTTCAATTTATGCATGCAATCGTCCGAAATTTCATTAAAAATTCAATTATATTACGGATGAATATCGAATGGTTAAGCAAGTAATAAGTCTTCTTCTCGAATGCAAAGTTTATTTACAAGAGCGTATGTGCGTTTCTGAGAAATATAAAAAAAAATTGAAAGCCCGATCAAAGCGTCACATACAGAAATACATAAATAAACTTTTTCATATAAATATAAAAATAGTCTTAACAAATATTGCATATGAAAAAAAAAGAGAAGAAAGATGGTATTAGTTACAAACGTTTAGTGCAGAATGGGCAAAATGAATACATTTTAACGAATTTGACGGAATTTTCATATAATGAAAATAATCATCTAACAGATGAGAAAACTATATGCGGTTATTATCGAATCTTTTCTACCCATCAACGTTATCCTAACTAAAAAAGGACTCGAGAAAAGGAAGGCAACTAAATTGCTGCATAGTGCTGCATAAGATTGGGTGGGCGTTGCTGCTTTTTTCTGTTCTCAGCACGTGTGTCCTTTGATTTAGGTCATTTTCAGATTATTGCCCAAATTCGTAGGCGATATGTTCATTTTAACGAACGGGAATATATTTACCGCAGATACAGGATAGATTGGGCAGATGGACAGACGGATCGACGAACACGCTTAGGTACATTCTAAATTTGAAACTGATCAAAATTTTATATACTTAGTGCGCTATAAAGATACTGAAAACAAGAAATTAAATTTTGTTACGCTATAATACAGAGTAGGCGTGGCTATATTTTTTCCATTTTTGTACACAAATGTTACAACATCGCCCATAGAATATGCGTTCAATTTATATTATGTATAATGATCGAAAAAATCAATTTTTTATTCCTTTTGAAAAACAGAGATGTTCTCGGTTTACGTGGTGTTCCGAACGTGTCTTTCGACCGATTTAGCCCATTTTCAATATCAACCTGCGTGCAAGACTTTCTAATGTTTCTGTCAAATTTTACACGTCTACAGCTTCATTTTGTGGCCAAGAGAATGCTTACAACATACATTACACAGACGGACGGACGGACGGACGGATACGCTCTAAAAAATATTAAACCGTATTAACGGGAGACAACATTAATTATTGCCAACTGTTAATGGACACGGACACGAGTCATAGGAATGAAAGGGCATTTAATCTAGAGGCTTGATTTTTAATAATCATAATTAATCTCTTAAATGAATTTATCTTCGCTATTTCTTCGATCCGGCCCATTAATCCATTTCAATTGTTATCAGGTATCGCAAATCTTTATTAAGATAGAGCACTTTCTCCAAATTATGAATAAAATGGAAAAAGAAGAAAATTATGAACGGCTATGTTGTAATCTTTTATACTCACCCACCATATTTTTCTTATACAAAAAATTCATCTCTTATAACATTGGAGGGGCGATATTTGTACAGTTACTGTAGGACCACCAATAGAATATATATGAAAATTTTTCTCATTGCATCTAATGTTGAGTTTATAAGTAATGAGCAAAAAAAAAAAAACGAAACCGAAACCAAAAACCCGACATGTTCCCACTTTATAAGTTGTACTATTTTTGTGTCCTTGGATCGACTCGCCTCATGCCTGAACCTCAGCCTTTTGTGCAAGAATTTCCAAATTTTTAAGGCAAATTGAAAGCCGTTATCTGCATTTTTATGACTAGGTGAACCCTATCCACAAGCATGATACAGGCGGACGGACAGACAAACAGGCAGACAGACAGATAGTCAGACATTTCTAATTCGATGTTTAATCAGGAACGTGTACATTGTTTATCGAGTATCTAAAGGTTCGTTCTGGACTTTTTCATTCTCCAATACTGATTGCAGAGAAATGAGTTTTCTTCAAGCAAAATTTCCGTAAATGTTATCCCTCTGCCCAATCAACACAAGCCCAAACAAACGAAAATAGTTTAAAACAATTTAGGTCTACAATATATATATATATATATATATGTGATTGTAAAATTCGTTACATATCTAGTATGTTCATCTTGATAAAATTTTATATACATACATATATATCTATATACACATGCATCGAAAAGTTAGTGATAATTTTTAAAGTTTAAAGGAAAGGGATTTTTAAACCGAACGTGCGTGCAAAAGTGTGTGTTTCAAACAAAATGAAAAAAAGAAAAGAAAAGAACAAGTGTAGTACTTAAAACCAACCCTGCTCTGCTAATATTTTAAAATTCTTCGAATTCTTTGCATTTTCTTAACAACAACAAATATCAAAAATAAACAAGACAATTATATTCGGTCGTGACCGAATCGTTTATACCCGTCACCGTTATTCTAAAAAAGACAAAAACAAAAACTAAAGATAAGTAAAATTTTCATCCTCTGTAATATGTAGTGGGCATGGCTGCTTATTTCTATTTTTAAAATAAAAATTTTTGTCACAGCTAAGCTGTGTGGGCGTTGTAAGCGTGTAAGCCTTTGAAAAGTTGAAGTCACTTCCAAACACTTTTCGAAATTTATAGGCGATATCTTCACTTTCGGTAACGGAAGTATGTCTACCACATATGCTACACAGTTGTACAAACAAATGCGACGGACAAACGGACAGACATGAGAGAGAAAAAAAATTCAAATTTTGATGCATTATAATAATGCTGGGTAGTCGTGGACAAATGCAACAGCACGGCCCATAGAATTAAGGCGTTGAAAGGCTGCTCTACTGTAGCTTTATGAGCAATTTTTTATTACTTTTGAAAAGCAGAGGTGTTCTCGGTTTACGTGGTGCTACACGAACGTATCTTTCGACCGATTTCGCTCATTTTCAATACCAACCTGCGTGCAAGAATTTCTAATGTTTCTGTCAAATTTTACACGTCTACCTACAGCTTCATTATGCGGCCAAGAGAATGCTTGCAACAGACATTACACGGGCAGACGGGCGGACGCACGGACGGACGGACGGACAGATACGCTTAAATCGATTCAAAAGTTGATACATGATTACGAATGTATATATAGTTCACGTGATCTCTGGATGCTTCGATGTGGGCGTTGCAAACGTTTTGACAAAATGAATATATCCCTCTCTAAGGGATCGACAGAACGACAGAGCATATCATATCCTTTACATGTGTGCTAGGCTCGTAACAAAATATCTATTCATTGATGCAGGTTTTTGTTAGTCATAACTCATACTCATCAATAATTGAACCAAATATGTCGTGGTGTTTGCATTTGCTATATAGATCATAAGATTATTGAAGAAAATGTAAAAAAAAAAAAAAAGATTAAATTTTTATTTATTTATTTATTATTATTATTTTGTTTGCTTTTTTTTTTTTTGCAACTCCTATGATGCTCAGAGCATTGAAATGAGAAATGACGAATAGACAGACATGTGTATGTATGAATATGATTCAATTTTTTTAAAAATTTTACAATAATTAACAAACTCGATCAACACACACACACACACACACACATGAAAAAGAGAATCATTCTCTTCTTCATTTTGCGTAACATTAAATTCGAGTCTTTATATCCGAAAACAAATGTTATTCAAATGCAGATTGCATTATGCTTACAGGGGAAGATGCATTCAACATAGAATAGATTGATTCAATAATGTATGTATCCGTTGATTTATAAATTTTCCCGAATTCAATCAAATTGACTTAACAGGTCATGGACGTGACATGCAAACAAAATTAGGACGTGGCTGCTCGATCATATGATCCTATGATAGTTTCGTTTCACGAATTTGCTAATTTTATTAAAAAAAAAAATAATAAAAAAAAACTCGATGCAATAATGGGCCGAGCCCATAAGCCACTAACCAAGCTATTTAGGTTCCTGCAATTGATAGGTTACACGGTGAATTTTCTGATCCATAAACACGATAGTTTTATTTGTTAACGTAATTCTTGCGGTGAACATCACATAAATGTTACCCGCTGGTATTTCGTTTTTTTTCTTTTTTTTTTTTTTTTTTTATAACTGATATGGTATACGCGTGCGGAGGTTGTGAGGTAAATATAAATATAACCAAATCATCCGGTTTAGAAGTAGATAGAAAGGTGAATGGGATTTTGTAGTGAATGCGAAATAACGAGGCACGGCGTAATCTTTTTGTAGCAGGAGATGTTTCGTGCTTCTACGATCCTCTTCCTGGCAGTAGGCGTGTTGAACATCACGATCATTGCATAATTTCGGGACGCTTGCCTGGCGAGAGTATGGTGGTAAAAATAACGCTTAGATTTATCAAAGTATGTTCTGGTCCGAGACTTGGCACCCGAAATCGTTTATGAAGCTATTTGATTGGATTAGTTGATTCGTCATTGCCAACTGTCGGTATATTCGTTTCGCCTACCAAAGTAGATCGTAGAAATTTATAATTGAACTTGAAAAATTGAGTTTTTTTTTTAAAATGACACCGATTATGCAAAACACAGAATACATAAAGAAGGAGAAAAAAGGGAAATTTAAAAAAATTTTGATAGCCCATGTGCGTTGAGAGTAATCTTGTTAATTAAAAGAATAACCAAACAAGATGGTCCACTCTGTGCATGATTTTATACACATGTGAATTTTCCATACATGAGCATAAAATAATGTACGTATGCGATATGCGAATGCCTTCTTGACTAATCAAGCAATTACTAAAAGAATATTTTAACAAACAGAGGACTACCTATTATCTACTATCACTACTACTATTACTACTACTACTACTACTACTACTACTACTACTACTACTACTGATACTACTACTATTGTTACTACCACTACAATAGTTATTAGTATTATGAAATTCTTATGCACGATAGTAGAAATAAACAAAACATTACTAGCCGCTATACGTATATACATATACATATATATATATATATATATATATATATATATATATATATAAACATAAATTTGGTGGCGGCAAGTTTGTTTAATGAAAATACAACTTACCGGTGATTGAGCGGTATAACTTAAATTGTACTGTGTCAATAAAACATTGCGCGGTATGGTAAAATTACACACCAGATATGTGTAATCATAACCGCGACATTTAAAATCGGTTACATCTAAGGGTGACGTACCTTGAAAAAGACAAGAAGAATGTAAAGGAAAAAAATTCGCATACGATATTTTTGATTATTATGTTGATTATTATTGTTATTGCAACGACATCATATTTTTTTTAGGGGAGATATACATATAAGGGCGTGAGAAAATAATTGTGAGCAAATTACTTACCGACTGCCACATGAGTGACACCAATACCCATTGTATCACTTTTACATATATAATTGCGATCTTGTTCAATGGCATTTCGTAACATGAATACTATGGTGGTATCATTCAAAATCTATATTAGAATGAGAGAATGAAAGAAGGATCAAAGAAAAAAAAAAAAAACAATAGAAAATTTTCGAAAGTGTCTTGCTTCGTATTACGAGACGAAAAGCGAGACAAACAATGGACAACATGCTTACATCAATATTATCACTTGGTACTGCTTGTCCTGTATCCTCCTCGACAAAATACAATGAAGTGCTATTCTTCTTACCTCCGAACGTTGCTAAATTCAGTTGACAACTTATGTTAGCGCTACCATTGATTTCAATTTCAATGCGTGTTGGTTTCGTCTCTGCAACATACAAACACATATAATTACCTATAAACTTGAATGTGAAATGAATTTCGATAATAGAAACTTAAATATTTGCACATGAACTGATTGTACCCCCCCCCGCCCGCCATCATAGAACGAAAGGCGGGATTGGGGTAAATTCATTCGTTTTGTCATTCAAACGTTTGTAACGCAGAGAAGGCAGCTTGCGTCAGTATTAAATTGATTTAAGCATGTCCGTCTGTCTGTCCCACCGTGTAATCTCTGTTGTAAACATTATTCTGGTCGTAAGGTTGGTATTGCAAACAGGACCAAATCGGCCGAAGGACGCGCCAGATAAACTGAGAACAATTTTTTTTGTTTTAAAGTAATAAAAAAAAATTGGTTTTTTCGTCGTTGCTCATAAGGCTGCGGCATATAAATCTACAAAAATTTGAACACACATAATATGTAGGCGAGGCTGTGGTACCTATACAAAAATGAGAAAAATTGATCACGCCTACCCAAAATTTTATTTTTTATTTTTTTTTCCAATACCTTTATTAGAAGCAAAAGCAAAGTTCAAAAACCCAATTCAAAGTCAATTTCAAATTCGGAATGCACCTAAGCATATTCGTCTGACCATCGACGATCCCGTCTGTCCAATCGTATCGTATCTGCGTTCGGAAAAATGAATATATCGCCTACAAATTTGCATAAGATTTGAACGGAAGCTGGAAACACATTAGCTTACATTTGTTACTCATAGCGTATAACATCGACACCATCTAAATTTCTACCTTTTTCACTAGAGCATGAAAATAGCACTCGGTTGCGTTTGTTTTTTTTCTTCGGATATCGATGATCGGGTACAAAAGATTCGATGGCGACCGAATATAATTTTCTTAGTTGTTTTGTATTTGAAATAAATGTGTAAAAATTAATAAACGCGGCATACGATTGTATTCGCTGAGATGAGTTACTATTCGCCCCTATTAACCGTTTAACTAATCGCAGATACCTAACTTCTGCTGCGGGTTGAATAGGAAGAAATAGTAAACAACTAAAGAACACGATGTAAGCAAACATAAAAGTTTTGCATTTCTTTACCCAACTGCACAACACACAATACAAATAAGGTGTGAAAACTAAAAAATCAACATAAAATATTTACATTTGTATACATGTGTAAGTATTTTGTTAAAATAAACAATATACATATATATATATATATATAAGAATTTTTGTACAAGCGAAATATAAGCGAAATTTATTAAGAAAAATATCTATATATGCAGCGCAACAACAATTAATAACTTATTTGTATTTTTTTTATTCTTTTTTTTTTCTGTTTTCCCTGGGAGAACATTATCAAAATATATTATATATATATATATATGTATAATATATTGTAATAACTTGTACAGCCCGCATTAATTTTTGTATCTGTTATCGAAAATTAACCGTTAACGGTTATATAGAGAATTTCTTTTAAATAGAGAGATAGATAACAAGTTTCCTTTTTCCCGGTAAGATTTGGAAAAGTGTACGCCTAAAAAGGACATTTAAAAATTATTCGCATTTTTTCTCTCAGCAATTATTCTTAAAATGCCTATTTTCGTCCACTTTTTTCAAGGAATCACAATCTCACAGGTGAGAGACGGAGAGATTCTCATTTTAACGATTTGCCGAATAAACGAAATGATGGCTTATCGGGTGAAACTGAACAATCACAATAAATTATTTATCAGACGTCTTCACGTTTCACGATCATAAAAATATGATCGTTTATTATAGCTTTTGGGCTGGTGGGAACTTGGTAGATCGATGTATGTTATCGAATGTTTCGCAAACAAACGCGGTAGAGGGCGTCGAAATTTCGTAAAGGACCGAGCGAAAGAGTGCTCTGGTCACATTACATCAGCGTTCTCTGATGATCTCCTTCGTTATCTGTCTTGTACCGAAAGTAAACTCTAATTTTTATATATCAATAGCTCTGATTACATAACTATTACATTGACGAGAACAAGTTGATGAAGCATCTTTAACCCATCTTTAAGCTGTTACCCTGTGCATATAGATATTAATTTCATATAAACGCATCGTAAAACGCATCGTTATCGGAAACTCTTGAATGGAAACATGCAACGCATGCCTGTAACAAAATGCATGAACATGTAGCTTGTCTACGTCAAGCAATCAATCTATTCATCAAAATTAATATAATAATGATGCAGCAAAGATTGATTGGTTAAATGTTAAGCAAGCTAGAGGTTCGGATATTCATGTAATTTCCTGTTCAAGGCACGCCCTACGATCTATATTTGTTATCAATATAAGACACGAATACTTCCTCTTTTAAGAATAGGACGAATATCAAAGATTTCATTTCATCATCACCGATCATCGCCCATCCGAAGAAACACAATTTCATCACTTGCCCAATATTGTCGTTCATAACCTATTTTGTGCTCGCCTTTCTTCTCTTTTGCGTTTCTCCCTCGAATTCGTTAGTTTCGATAATTTTTTTCTTCTTTTTTTTTCTATATTATGTAACAATTTTCCATATTTCAATAATTGTAATAATAAATAATCAAATGTTTTTATGAAAAAAAAAAAAAAAATTGTTATCTTTACTTACCGCCTGGAGAACTGGTGGCGTAGCAATAAATACATTGTTTACTGTTAAAGATGAAATTCAAAATAACAAACCACAGCGATGAGCTGTAAGACAAAAAAAAAAAAAAAATCGAAAAAATCGAAAAAAAAAGACAAGACCAAAAAATATAGAAAGAATTTGTACAAAAATAAATTTTTTATAAATTGAAAAATCTTGACGTTTTAGACAAAGCCCAGCAAGATAACTAACTACCGCAACTATTCACTTTGAAAATACAATTTGACAATTAGTTTTTCCAGTCAGTTTCGTTATAGGGAAACAAATGTAACATAAATAATTACTTGGCGGGTGGGTCGCCTAACATCTATTCTTTTAAGCAATCCTACAGTATTTAATAATTTCAACACTATAGTAAAAGAAAAGAAAAAATCAGGATTTTTTTTATTTTTTTTTTTCTTTGTCCTAATGAGTTTTAAACGGAAGTATGGCGTAATTGTTTTTTTTTTTTTTTTTTTTTCCATTCATGTCGTTGCGTACGTGCATACATATGTGCATACATATGCATGAATATACGTGCATTTCGGACAATTGGAGAAATATATTCCGAAATACAGGTATTGCAAAACTCTACAGATCTGTCGGTCGTCGGTCGTCGGTCGTCGGTCTTTGTATTGTGTCGTTAGGCATTTAAAATTGATTAGTGGCGCGCGGGTGAAGCAATTGCTTTTTAGCAACAATTTCTTTTATCAAAAGAAATTACATTTAGACATGTATGTTTAGAAAGATATTGGCGAGGCAAAGCTTTCCAAAAAAAAAAAAAAAAAAAAAAAACGAAGCAAAACGAAATGAGGCAAATTGAATTCCAGGTTTCTATAGGAAATCGTATAAAAATCAAAAATAAGTTCGAGCATTTTTATACCCATTACCGAGACGATGAGGTGTATATTCAATTTTGTAAAAACATTTGCAAAGACGAGAAGGAAGCGTCAGAGACACACACAAAGTATATACATTCTTGATTAGCAGCAGGCCGTCTGTCCATCTGAGCAATGTCTGTTGTAAACAATCTTTTGGCTGCGAAAAAATGCAGCTAACACAAATCTGACAGCAAATCTGACAGGTTCGTTTTGGAAATAGATCAAATCGATCGACGGACACGCCTACATTAACAGATTTAGCTGAGAACATCACTGTTTTTTCCAAAGGAATAACAAAATTTATTTTATAAATTTTTTTTTTTTGTCATTTCTCATAACACCACAGCAAATAAATCTACAAAAATGTGCACGTACATTATATGGGCGGATGGATATCGCCTACAAATTTGTAAAAGAATTTGGAAATGATCTACACATTTTAAAGAACATGCCTGCCTGCTACGCCCACACATACCTATGCGACAAGAACTTTTATTTTGATATTAGAAGGAATCGGCCGCGACCATCCCTTACTATAGTATGTATGTAAATTTTTTTCCTTCACTTTTTTTTTTTTTTTTTTTTTTGGAATAACGGATGATAAACGGTAAACGATAAAAGATTCGGTCATGATCGAATATAATTTTCTTACTTGTAACATTTTTTAATTTTTTTATCGATTATAGTACACATGTACATATTTGTAAGTAAAATTAGACAAAAAAAAAAAAAAGACTTCATTTACTGATTAAAAGTCCAAAGTCTGTTGAACAAAATTTTTTTTTTTTTGTTTCATTTCTAAACGATTTTTTTTTTTTATGCAGCGACCAATATCGAATGTTACTACTCGAGCAGCAACTAACAAACCAACTCTCGCTCGCAGTCAGAATCATTTGGTGGAAAAATTTCCAAAAACTTCATCAATTAAACTCATGGCTTTAGAATGCTTTCATGATGTAAAACTCCGTTGCTGTTCTTTTTTCTACTGGACTATCCATACTGCCAGCCCATTGGATATATCTCATTGGATCTGAATCATTAATTTTGATGTGTGATATGACGGCTCGCCGCGCCTATGGAAAAATGGAAAATTTATTTATTAATTTGTTCGCTTAGTTATTCCTTTGGTCACGGCTTCCTAGATATTCTCGATCAACATACACACAATGCCGAATCGATTTACCCCAATTGCCTTTGCCTTTACCTTTGCTTGCAATTATGATATTCGCAGAAATTGAAGAAATGGAAATGAAATGACAATGCTTTTGAATGCAATGGACCGACCCATAAGTGAAATTCATCTGACTTTCATTTTTTTTCATTTTAAAATATTTTTAATCGATAACACACAACCAACATCGATTAAAAATTTATATTGAACCAGTGAAACGTTGATTGCAGGAAAAGATTCCTGATAAGTCGGCGAATGCTTTGATGTTTCTTTAAAGTCGTACCTAAGATAGTGGGATATTCGATGTTCGCCTTAACTGCAACTTTTTTTTTTTTTTTTTGGCCTTATTTCAATTATTAATATTATATATATATATATACATATATATATATATATATGTATATATGAACGTACATTCAAAGAGTAAATTTGTTTAATTTTAACATCATGCTGTTAATTAATGTAAACTAATTTGGAAAGAAAGAAGAAAACCAAATTTCAGAAACTAGAAACCGCATATGTCTGTTTTCCTACAAGTTAGTAAACACATATATGTAAACATATATTGAGATATGTTGTTGGCTCACCCAAACGATCGAACGGCAAAGTCAAAAAAAAAAAAGAAAAAAAAAAAGGTCAATAATAAGTCGAAATAGTTGGAATACGCGGGAACATACTTTTTTAAGAACTTAGAAGAGTGTATTTGGCAAGAAATTTGTATTAAACTGATTTCTTATAATTATTGTATGATTTCTGAGAGAATGACTCCTTTACTATATAAGACATATCTCTTAATAGACCGCGATTTTCCTACAAATCCTACAAAGAAGAAAATTAAAGAACTAATCAGGAGCTGGAACAGTTTATTTGAATGGAGAATGCGTCGCGTTCATATTGAAATGATTTGGCGGCGAAGCAAGTGACCTTGAGGTGGCGCAAAATCAAAATACATTTTCAAATAAGCTACAGCAAGATTTATAAGCGTTTAGACGGTTGTAAAGTTATGTTTAAATATAATTAGCAAAGACACAACCCCAAAAAAAATTTATAAAGAGCTCCGTTAGAGTCTTTACAGAATTCTGTTAAGCGAAGACCTTATCAGTATTATTGAGCAAAGAATAACAAAACAAAAAAATTTGTATAGAGATCTGTCAATCCAGCAGAACAGAATTCTGTTAAACGAAGTCGCGGAGGGATTTAAGTCTAAATATAGTTAACATAGAACTTTTCGAGAATTTTTTTTCAAAAATATTATAAAGGAAACATGTTTACGTACGATATTTAGCTAAAACTTGATATATAGAAAAGTGTTTGGACAAAGTCAAACATGAAGTTGAAAAAGCGAAAGTTTACTTAGCTACTTTGGCTAAGAGTTGTGAAGTTATATTTTAATTATAATTAGGAAAGGCAGAAACCAAAAAAAAAATTTGCACAGAGATCTGTTAAGGCGTTAACAGCCGTTCTGTTAAACG